AAAATCCACTTTTTCCCATTGGATTTTGGCACTTTCCAATTGGAATTTTTCCAATTGAGCTAATAACATCCAATTGGAAACAAGTCCAATTGGAAACAAGTTCAATTGGAAAGTGCCAAAATCCAATGATGTATTTTCCAATTGGATCCAATTGGAAAGTGCCAAAATCCAATGATGTAATTTCCAATTGGAAAGTGCCAAAATCCAATGATGTATTTTCCAATTGGATCCAATATGATTTTTTCCAATTGGAATGAATTGGCCATTTTGGTAAGGGATATACTACCAAGGCAATTCAACAATTGCCTTGATACTACGTACGTACCCTAGTACGGGGCGCCGTTTGGGGCACTCCCTATTTTGCCTCGACAAAATACCATTCCGTCTCCACAAAATGCTATTATGTCGACAAAGTTTATTTTGTTACCATAAAATGCTATTTTGTAAAACTATTTGATCATCAAAAAAATGCTATTTTGTAAGAAACAATTTATTTTGTCACCACAAAATGTTATTTTGTCTACAAAATCGTATTTTTGTAAGACAAAATTTATGTTGTAACCACAAAATGCGCCATACCTAATTTAATTGTCGTCCCATACTCGATTTCTTTCTCCGTTTCTAATTGGTTTCTAAAGTAACTTACTCGTTGGTGTACGCGTGATAACACGTGACTATCCTAACTACGATATTATTGTAGTGTGTGAAGGTATTGTAATATCTAATTTGGCTTCGAAGCCGAAGCATAATTCCTCAGTGAAAACATTGAAAGATTATTCATTAATGCGCTCATTGCGCGCCATACACATTTTACCTTGGCCTACTTCCTCGAAAGTAACGCTGTTACAAATAGTTAAAAATATAATAAACAATAACATAAATAATAATAATTTATGCAGTGGTGGATTCAAGGGGACCCAGTCCGCCTGCAACCACCCTCCCCACCCCCTGACAAAAAAAGTTCAACATTATAAAACAAAATGGAGAAAAAAGACATAGCCCTATTCAAATTTAGGATAAGCCTGAGAATGCCATTCTAGGTGATCTAGACGTGCCATAATCACAATTTTGTTTTACCTCAGCCTGGACTATGGTGGGGCTTGGGTTGAGGTGGTCTAGAACCTCCATCTGTGAAAGTCCCTTACCTTACCCCCCCCCCCCCCTTCTCACCAATTATGAACTTCTGGATCCGCCAATGTATGGCAATATTATCGATTCGATTAAATGCGATACCCATATGAAGCTCTATAAGCGAATTTAAGTTTAGTAAGGAACGCATATCTAAACATAAAAAAAAAGTATAGGCCCTACCTGGATTGGGAAGCGACCAGTTCACGTAGGCAGACTTTATATCATCTAAAGGAACATTTGATACATCTTTTTTCACCGAAAAAATACGAATTTCAGGATACTCGTAAGATCGAGCCAGCTCCTCTGTGGCATTTATCACCTATGAATAAAACATAAGAAAAAAAAACTTACTGTTAGAATAGTTTGTAGAAAAACAAGAGGCTGGAGGGAATAAGAGAATGATGAATGCGCTGCTTTCCAGAATGTATTTTCAACATAACAATACATCCTAATATTTGTTTTTATGGGTTTTTATTATTTTCCTTAAATGTACCGTATTTATTACGTTTTTTTTTTATTTATTTTTTTTTTAAATTATTAATGCATACCTATAAAAATATAAATTAATTTATTATGGTAAGAACAAAAAAAATATGAGTATAATAATAAAAATGCAGTGAAATTCGGATTGCACATATAAACAATTTTACAAATTAATTAAAAACAAAATTATATTAATTTTTTTTTAAATTATTATAATTATTTTTTGCATTTCCAGAATGTATTTTCAACATAACAATACATCCTAATATTTGTTTTTATGGGTTTTTATTATTTTCCTTAAATGTACCGTATTTATTACGTTTTTTTTTTAATTTTTAATTTTTTTTAATTATTAATGCATACCTATAAAAATATAAATTAATTTATTATGGTAAGAACAAAAAAATATGAGTATAATAATAAAAATGCAGTGAAATTCGGATTGCACATATAAACAATTTTACAAATTAATTAAATACAAAATTATATTAATTTTTTTTAAATTATTATAATTATTTTTTGCATACCTTAGAGAAATTAAAAATTTTATTTCATAGGATTAAAATACCAAAATTCGGATTACACATTATTTTAAACTTATAAATTAATAAAAAATGTATAATTAAATAGGAATTATAAGTTAGGCCTATTCAATAAAAAGAAAAAGCATATACAGTAAATACAAATATTTTAATTATTGAGAACCTAGAATTATTCAAAAGCATGTGTCTGAAATACGCGAAATTTGTGAACAAGTACACCAGTGAAAAGTTGCGAGACGTTGGTGGTGCTGCTTTAAAATAGACCCAATAGAATGGTGTATATTTTAGTGAAATATATTTAGTAGACCTATGAACATAAAATTAAAAACTAGAGTGCAGTCGCTCCACAGAATGGACCTTCGCCCAGTGCGTGAATACTGAATAACACACATGGCGTTTATGAGACGGGCGATTCCATTATTTTCTTTCAATTTTGAGGGATAAGTTTCAAGAGAAATTGTAGCTTTATGAGACCTTGTCCTGTACATAATGTCTGGGTCGTATAAGACGACGCTTAAAATATTAAATTACAATCGAAAAACAGTGGTCGTATTAGACGTACCACATACACATTTTAGATTTTTTAAATCATGTTCGTCTTATGTGCGGGTCTTCCGTAACACACGAATTTACTATTGCAATGAGGCTACTAAATGTTAGTATGAATTAACACAATTTTAAATACGGGGAAATAAGATTTTGATGAACATTTAAAAACTCATAAAATTGTATTATTTGAAAAATTAGCCTCGCATTTGACTTCGTTTATAGCCAACTAGATATGCGAGCCAAAGTTAAGCCGGGCAATTCACCATTTGTGTGCTGATATAATATTATAGTGTAAGTGAAATTCAAAGGTTAAATTTTCAACATGATCCAATTGAGCTCAAATTTACCAAGAATAATCTGTCTGGGTTCATATTCTATTGAACATAGTTTGAAGAGAGTTTCTAGCAAGGTCGTCGATCCGTTGCTGAAAGTGGGGGACACGAGATGAAAAATTGAATCTGCCACTGAAATACTCATCATAAACAGTTTTTAAAATTATCCATTTTAGTCATAATTATGCCCGCTTATATATTTCGTGCAAACTAACATTCATAAAAATAATGATTTATTATCTACTGATTAGCTTCTAACGTATTCAAAATTCGAACTATGAAAAACAAATAAGATAAACTTAAAACAGTCATTAATTTAGTCTTTTTGCATGTACAGTACTTTTAAAGTCAATCAAGAGGTTTTTTCTTTTCTCCTCTTTTTGAATTTCACTTTTGTGTAAGTAATATTGCGATAAATTATTGTGAATAGAAAGAATACCGTCTAATTTACGATCAAACAGGACTAGGGAGATAGGGACCACACAAAACATTAGTTAGCATTTTGATTTCACAAACATAAAGGTAATTTACTTAATTTATCATTATCAGCATGGTTGGGGCTGAGGAAAGAAAATTTAAGATTATGACACATCTAGATTGCCGTATTATACTTTCTTAGATAATATTAAACACTAGTATATACGTACGGGTCATAATAATATAAAAAAGAATAAATCGTTTATATTAGAAATTGTGCACTTTCGAGTTGGTAAAAATATTGGCCTAATAAGGATACATGCCTCCAATTTCAACAAAGTTCAGTACATTGTTTTCACAATAAATTTAGCCTCTGATATTCGTTGCACCCATAAAATCAATCTAGTGGGTTTCTGAGATGGTTACAAAATGTTTAAACAATTACGTTTTTACTTGGTTTTGGTCCGGAAAATACGTACCGCACTTAGAAAAGTGAACAGACAAAATTCACGAGTCACGCGTAATTGTTATTCTTTCCATTCGCTTGTAAAAGTGGGTTTTAATTATAGAAGATTGGTGAAAAGTGGGGGGGGGGCAATCGATATGATGTCCTCCCCCCCACTTTGAAAAGTGAGGGAACGTGTCCCCCTGTCTCCACCAATCGACGCCCATGGTTTCTAGTTTTGTTCTGTAACTTACTGAAAGATTTGATAACTTATGTGGTTCTGTTATATGAGTAATTCAAAGTGATATTAATTTCATTTCTAGGGTAATTTATTTTGTGGGTGATAATGAAAAATCTTTTATGAATGAAGTGGTATCATTTGATTGGTTGACAAAAGAATCAAGTTCTTCTGACCTCCGAAATCTCGGACGTGATTTATTGACTTTATCATTCAAACCCAAAAAATAATACAGTATCATATTCAATCATCGGGTCCGATGGGTCGCATCTGACTGCTTGGCATGTAATTTGGGATGTGAAAAAAAATGTTGCGGAAATGGGACCTACTTGACGGAAGTAATTAAATAAAGTAATTTAATAATGAATTATATATTTACCAACGGTACAGTTAGTTCCATGTTACTTTGACCACTGCAAATCCAGACATCACCAAACAGAACGTCACTGAGTTGAGCTTTCGGCGGGCCAACGTTCCCCGATTCACCGATGGATTCTATAGATATTGTGTATGGCCCTCCAGCCGGCACTGGGTCAAAAACAACGCTCCATGTGCGGTAAAAACTAGAAGAAACTATAAAGTGTAAAGTGTTTAAAGTATCCTTATACAATTGCTATTTATAATAAACCTTTACGAAATCATAAGGTGACTAAATGCAGTAGCATTAGTAGTGTTAAGTAGTAGTACGGTATTAGTAGTAGTAGCAGCAGCAGTACAGGCCCGTACGCAGAGGGGAGTGGGGGTGCAACAGGTGTGTACACACCCCCAGTGGCGGCGCCAGCGGGGTGGCAGAGGGCTTATGCCCCCCCCCGCCGGACAGAGCTCTTCGGGCATTCAGACCATAAAAAATAAAAAAATAGGCCAACACCAAGCCAACACATGTCTGTCACAGCCTGAGAGTGCCATTTTCGGCCATCTATAGGTTGATATTCTTTAAAAAAAATCTCATTTGGGAGGGGGAACCCCTCTTAACCCCTTCTCCCAACTCGAGCCTACGAGCTCAAGTCACCCCTGTCGGACAACTTAGCCCCCCAGAAAATATATCCTAGAGCCGCTACTGCGTACCCCCCCCCCCCCCCCCACCCCCCGCCCCCCCAAACCAAAGATCCACATTTTCCAAGGTAGACAATTTAAAATCCACTCTCACACATTCCAGAAATCCATCCACCGTGACCTCCTTGACCAATCAGAGCAGTTTCAAACTAGGATCGCCTCTAATTCGTCGTAAAAGCAACGACTATTAATAACTGTATTTATATAAGCGATTTGATGAATTCCAGTTTTTCTCCGCCGCTTGCGTGTCAATGATTCACCGCTTACAACTCATTTTCCTTCTAGGTGTCACTAAAATCATCTTTACTCTCGCTTGGAAATCATCTTGATACAGCAGGCGCGGATTTAGACCTTCGCACTGTTCGCCATGGTTTTTCAGAGCAAAAAATATATCACAAATCTAAACGGCAAAAACGATTCACAGAGATTACTGGTTGTCTATACAAATATATCAGATTATTGTGCGATTGCAAATGCAGCTCTGGATCCACTAAAAAGGGAAACAGTTAAATTAACTGTTCCCTAGCTGCTCTAACCAACGTCCATCCACAGCAACAGCAGCGATGAAAGATTGTGATGATGACATTTTCCTTAATGTATCCGTGCTTCTAGTTTGTGCTGCACTATTCCCAGTGGTGGTGCCCTCCCCCCCCCCCCCCCCCCCCCCCCCCAAAAAAAAAATTCAAAATTGTGTAAAAAACGAAAAGAAATTTATATTCAAATGTAAGTCTGAGAGTGCCCTCTCCGAGCCATAGAGGTGCCATAATCATGAATTGTCTTACCTCAGCCCCAACCATGGTGGGGATGTTTCGAATTCCTATGATTCGCCCTGACAGTGGCGGATTATTCAAAGAGGTCCAGTCCAGTCCCCCCTAAATTGTTGTCATTTTTTTTTTAATGGGGAAAAAGAAAATTATATTCAAATTGTATGAGAGTGCAATTTCCGGCCGTTTAAATTTATTTTATTTAAACATTTAATGACCATGGTGAGGCTGAGGTGATGATATTTCCTCCATCTGTGAAAGTCCCTCCATGGACCACTCTTTACATTCCTGGATCCTCCACTGAAAACCGTTTAATATATGCATCTTCAGAAATCAACAGCAGCAGCGGCGGCGGCGGCGGCCGCAGCAGCAGCAGTATAGTAGTAGCAATAGACTAGTATAGTCCCGGTGCTTCCAAAGAGTATAGAATTACAAGAGGTCCGACTGCTCTGATTTTGTAAGCAATTTTGTGAAACATTAAAAAGTAATAAATCTTAACTTCAGCAGATATGTTGTAATAGAAGTTGTAATTTTAATTTATTAGGCCCAATTTCTCTTCCTGTAAGATAATTTGTTCATGGGATTAGGTTGGAAAATCCACAGAATAAGTACAGTATTGTAGTACTAGTAATATAGGCCATTGAATTGTTTTCATTTCTTTCTGTGATTATGGCCTAATCCCTACCGCTAAAATAAGACTAAATAGGCCTATGTATTATTTCACTCTGTGTAGACCCCATAAATTGATAATGTTCCAGGGATCCTAATTTTGGAAAGAAAATTACACAGGAACAACTTATTTTTTTCTTACATTGGTTGTACCATGGAGTTGGTGTGTTTGGCTATGCTGTGTGATAAAAGACAGGGCCTACTCTTTGTCGAGGACGAACTATAACTGAAAGACGAACTATAGCTGAAATTATGCATGACGTCAACATACGAAGCCACGCCCCTCGGCTGAACCCGTTGTATTTAGCAACTACCACTTTGTTTTTTTTAGATAGGATTGCGTTCCAGCGAAACCCCGAGAGTCGGACCTGTTGTATAGGCCTACTCTTTGATGCTTTGCACTGCCTGCATTGTCCATACTTACGCCATTTGAATCTCACCTGAATAGTTTTTCTCATCCAGTGTAACCCGAATCAGAGCCAATTCCTCTGCGTAGCCCCATATTGTGGCCTGCATTGGCGCCATTTGTAGAACCATGTGATCATTGAAATACGAAGCTAGTTGAAGCGCTGAAGAACCTTGTAAATTAAAAATTATGTATATTACTAGAAATCGCAAATTGCAAGTGAAGTGCTGCGAAGTACAACTGCATATAAATGTTCTTTGAACAAAATTATTTATGCGAGTCAAATGAAAATAATGAATAATAAAAATATAACAAATAATATGAGACACGACCCATTGTCTACGTTAGAACACTTCTCGTTGGGTAACAAATTTTTCATTTTTACCAAAAAGTGTCTATAGTGGTGAATTATGGTTTAGGCTTTTTTAATAAAGTTTCAAAAATTTCTATGTATGTGGAAAATGTAGTTGATTACCAAAGGTTATAATTTTTATTTTGAAGACTGCATGGTCTAGGAAGTGTACATTTTTTTTATGGGGAAAGTTTCCAAGGGCGGGTTTTCTAGGGGCGAGTTGACTGCCAAAGAGTGTTGCCAAAGTGCGAGCCAGCGTGTTATTTGATCACAAGTGCGAGACATCGCAAGTGTGAGCCAGCGAGCCATGACGTCACGACAATTGATACGAGACGTTACTCGAGTTGTGCGAGGTAGGTCCTATCGGATCGACTGAGATTTGTGGAGTACAATTCAAAAAACAACTATAGGTCTAATAATGAATTATTGTGATGTTAAATAGACAATGTTAGCTATCAAGGAGCGACGTTGTTTTTCATTGGGACCTTCGTCCCTTCAAGGCTAGGCCTATACCATCTAGCTAGGCCTAGAGTAGGATAAGGCTAGCGCGACATGCCGACGTTGGTACGTGTAGGTTAGTCTACAAACGTCGCCTAAAGTAATTGATTTTACCCGGCAGAACGAAAGAAGGAAACTCCGCTTTTCAGTCGTCTTAGGCCCTTGTTTTTTGACAAACAATGACCTTTCAGAGGTCAAATTGCTGTCAAAAGAATATGAATTGGCTGCTTCGCAGCAATTATACTGTTAAAATTAGTACCGTATAATAATAATAATAATGATAATAATAATAATAATAATAATAATAATAATAATAATAATATCAAATATTCAAGCTCGGATCATCCAGTGCTCAAGCCTTTTTTCCAATAGGCGAATTAATTCGCGAGAACACCGAAGCGTCGGCTATACGCATGCGCATTCACATTTATATCGGAGATTTGCGAAGCGAAAAAATGCGCAACCAATCAGAGCTCCGGAAGCGAACCGACGCTTTGATTCGCGCGAATAAATTCGCCTAGTGGAAAACCGGCTTAAAGCTGGTTTTCCTGAGCTCTAATTGGTTGTGTATTTCTAGTGGAAAACCGGCTTCACGTTGACCATCTCATAGATGGTGTCTATTGGACAGATCCCCTAACCATGGAGGTATAACTAAACGATCAGACGATCTCAAGGGCAGACCCAGAGCTTAAATCTGACCCAAAAACTGTTGTTGATAATGATGATTGATTATAATTATCGTCATTATCATTATAATTTAAGAAGTATGATCATCGCCATCGCGATAATGGTGATGGTCATTATGATGAAATAATAGTGGTGGTGGTGGTGATGATGATGATGATGACAACGACGATGACGATGACGACGACGACGACGACGATGATGATGACGGGATGATGAGACATGTGGGATTAATGCCAGCAAAGTGAGTTCATGGCTGAGGAGACGGGAACCACTAAAGTGACCCTTGGTAAAAATGCATTTTGAAGGAAGGCCGCAAAAAATATACTGTACAGTGGATTTGATGGTGGTACACTAATTTGAGTGGTTTCTCAACCAAATTATGAATATCCAATTAGGTACACAGCACTTTTGCAGGCTTGGCAAGGGGACACCAGGATCTATCAGCGGAAAGTCGAAGACTACAGTAGTTCTGGTATACATAGAAAACTAACGACTGATTTTCTAGCTGAGAGCTGAACGAGCAAATAACGAAGGCAGGTAGCAATGGATGGCCTTTGACCAGGTGGAGTTTGTTGGACAAACTCCACCTGGTCAACTCCAACAAACTTTCAAAAACGTGCGTGCCAATATCAGGCGCGGATCCAGGAGGCACGGGGGAAAATTATCCCCTCACCTGTTTTGCCACTAAATTATAAAGTTTCAATGCATAGACCTATAATGAAATTAGCGCTACTCACTTATTTATTACTGAATATTTCAATTGCTTTATAGGTTTTCAAAAAAGTATACTTGTAGTGCCATACCACCGTAAATACGAGGAAAACGAAAATAACTGGATTCAAAGGATAAGAATATTACCATGTTGTCGGGGAATAAAGTAAAAAAAAAAATCTTGATTGTGCACAGTGAAGCAAATCTAAAATTCACTAATGGCGTTATCCCGTGTAAAAATAATAATAATAATAATAATAATAATAATAATAATAATAATAATAATAATAATAATAATAATAATAATAATAATAATTTGCGATTTGTATAGCGCCTCCCGTTGGACCAACCTCGAGGCGCTTCACAACAACGGAAGGAAACGGACAAGAGAACGGACAAGAGACAAACGGGCAAGAGAATAAAAAAGAACATATTTACTTATATCCGACGACACGGAAAAACAATATCGAACCAGGGAACAGTGAACTGTTCCCTGATCGAATAAAATGTCAATGGCTTGTAGGCTGCGACCTATTGTTAATGTAATGAATATTGTATATATACAGGTATAATATGTGTATAAGAGAGAGTATATATATATATATATATATATATAGGCCTATTAGTATTGGCTTATCAATTTTGTATCACTTATTTTTCCCACAGCATTGTTGTTTTCCAGTATCGGCAAACCGGGTTTTGGCAAATTGGGTTCTCATGTTTTTGGTGAACTGGATTATGCAAATTGGGTTTCGGCAAAGTGGCCATAAAATCGGCATACCGGTTTTCGGCAAACTGGATTTCGACAAACTGGTCGGATACCTACAGGTTGCACAAGGTGAACCTGAGTGCTATGGTAGCTGACATGTACATGGAAGATTTCCCTTTGTACATCTCTTGTGAGGCAAATAACAAGACAGAGCAAATGCAATAAGCACACAATGTTAAACAAGTAATCGATAATGCTATTGAGTTCAGTCGACCAGAGTCTCGCGACGTAAACATCACAAATTTCTCAATCTCTTATTATCACGTGTCTTTAGATCTACATAGATTTATATCTATAGATCAGAGGTGAGATAACATATTGTGTGCCTCTTTACTTTTTACACCTCTTGCCCTCTATGCATAAGTTAATCAATAGTAATACAAATCAAAGTCGGAATTTTCTTTTTCTAATCGCTGGTCTACAATGGCTCACATTTTGATGTTTATAGTGATCTTCGAATATACTGGGGCAATGTCAGTAGTGCAGCAGCATCAGTC